GGGTACCAAAAGCACATAGAATGTTAATATGAAATGCTATGTTAAAAGTTGTCATTCACACTACTTTATATGCTAAAGCACTTTAGAAATTGTGGCGACTTATGACAACTTACCTCCTCACGTTCTGCTTCCATTTCATCATATGTCAAAGCCTGCTTCTTCACAACATTTTCTTTTGTTCGTACAATTGTCTGCACAAGGTCACAGAAAAATCAATTACCAAAAACCACAAAAAAGAATTATTTAAGGCACGTATGCAGTCAATATTCAAATGCAGACTATTAAAACATACAAAAAATCTGGTAGGTAAGCAAAAAATTAAATCTTAATTTGATACTGGTCAAGAGAATGGAGGAGAAACAGGGTACATTTGCACCACAGCTAACCTCATCTAGCAAGTCGCACAATTTATTAATTTTGGCCTCCATCAGGGCAATTTCTTTTGAATTGTCAACTTCTTTTGAGGTTGCAGCACCCCCATTCGGTTCTGATCCACGTGATCCTTTCACAAAATGTTTCTTGTCCAACTTTTCAAGAGGTGTGTCCTGCACAGAATAAACAAATAAATACATAAAACACAAAATGCCAAAACAAACCAAATAAGAAACATTTTTTTTAAAAAAAAAAATAAGTCATGTAGAGAAGTAATCTAATCTAGCCTAAGGAAATAAGGCATCCTCTGATTGAAGAATAGTTCCATAGGGAGGATTCTACTTCATAAATAAAATAACACAGCATAGCTTGAAGTTAGATGTAATTAGAGAGGCTCTTACCATATGAACAAACAAACAAACATGCGTGCGTGTATGTGAGATGAACCAAATAAGATACATTTTTGTTTTAAAAAAACAAGTCATGTTGAGAAGTAATCTAATCTAGCTTAAGGAAACAAAGCATCCTCCAATTGAAGAATAGTTCCATAGGGAGGATTCTACTCCATAAATAAAATGCCACAACGTAGCTTGAAGTTAGATGTGATTAGAGAGGCTCTTAACATAAGAACAAACAAACAAACATGTGTGTCTTTGCAGGTTCAAGCTTCAAGCACTGCTTTTAGGGGAGTTTCCTTGGCTAATATTCAGCATGAGTGGGCTGCTCTTTTATAAATATCTGTTTCCTCTCTTCTTTGGGAGGAAGTCTTATTGTCCATCACACTTGGTAATTCTTAAATTTTTAATGCAATCTTCTCTTACCCAAAATTATAAATTCATGTTCACCACTGAACTGACCAAGTATGAAATGGAAAAAAAATTCCCTCCTGACAAAAAGATTAATTTTTAACTAAGAAATTAGAGAAAAAGAGAACATCCATTGGATCTCTTTTGTTCCTAAACTTATAAGGCTTGTATATAGTAAAAGAACTAGTCCAACCTTTGTGAGGAAAAGCCTTTCTGCACGCTGCTGTAAAGTACCACCACTCTTTAGCCCCAATGCAGCCAAGGCCTGACAGAAAACATGTAGCAAACAAATTAAAAATATATGCAGTTGGAAAGGACAACTAAAACCAACAAAATAGAATTCTGCAAAAAAAAACTGTTACAGCACATGGAATGAACTTGGAAACATTGATGAAGCAACTGAACAATAACAATTGCCCAAGTCGTGGCATACTTTTCTATTACAAACTTCTGTGACTCCACAGCAACCCACTGGATATTATTAATATTTTCCAGTGTTGATCAAACTGTCCGATACCAGAGTATTTCTCGTTAAACTACCAAAGCAATCAATGACATGAAATGTGACTCCACAGCACTGCATTTGATATTATTAATAATTTCCAGTGTCAATCACACTGTCTGATATCAGAGTATTTCACGTTAAATTGTCAAAGCAATCAACATTGAAGAAATGTGGATTAATAACAGCATCCCATCTAGCACTTTAAACTCAACACTATAAGGATAATGGTAACATGTCACTATCAGCTGTCACTTGGTAATATAGAAGTACATCTTTGTTTATTGAAATTAACATAAACTACTGTAAATAAGCAAGAGAATGCTCTATGATTTTAGATTTCCATTTAAGCAAAAAGCGTTTGATGGAAAAACTATGCAGCCAGAAAAAAAATTATATGGCTTACCTCCTTTAATTTTTCAGGGCCCACTTCTTTCAGCTCCTCAACGGTGCTGTAAAAATCAAGATCAATAACAGTATGATCAGCTGACAAATGCCCATTTTCTCGACTGGTCTTTTCCCATCCTTGAACTGTGTCATTTTCCCATTGCTCTTCAAATTCAGTAGTAACCTACAACAATAACAATCCTATAATGTCAAATGAAGTACATAATTGGCTATAACCAAGCATGGTCAAAATTCTTTGTTCTATAGACAAAAAAAAAAAAAATGAGAAAATTGTAGCAGCACTTGGCATTTAGAAGCAAAAATTACTGTTTGACACTAGTGTTAGCATTTGGTGAATCAAGCAGGCAAGTGTCCTACAGCATCATAAACAATGAGCAAAAGAATTAAAAAAGAAAGAAAGAATCATTTAAAATAAACCTTTGAAAAAATCCTATCAAGATCTTGCAAGGGCTCTGTCCGCTGGAAAAAATAAACTAAATATTCAAGTAGATTCTCCATGTATTCCCTGTATTGCCTGAAGAAAATTGAAACAAAAACAGAATTTAAAATTTGGATAAAAAAATCACAGTGAGATGCAGATGCTGGAAAATATAACACCTAAAAATGTATCAAAAAATCAGGGGGGCGCAGAGAGAGAGAGTCTACCTTGAAAACTTCAATTTGCGGGGTACAATATTTGGTTGGGAGAAAATGTCAAGGTAAGTAGAGTATTCAATAGGCTTCTCGAATTTTAAATTATTGTACTGGTTATACAATTCATGCATGTCTAGGTATTTCCCGAAAGCTTCCTGTAATATAAATCCAGCTATAGTGTTAGTTATTGCAGGGAAAATTCATACAACATAATTAGGATAAGTCTCTGGTAGAAAAAAGGCAAACAATTGTTTTCCAACTAATAAATTATAAGTTACCTAGCATGAACACTTTGAATCTTGGCATATGAAACTATGTCCTAAAGTATCAAACTGAAAAGACTACTCACTCCAATCTCACAGTAGATGAACTTGAAAATGCCAACAGAATCTCAAGATTTTGTAACGCATTACTTAATTTACTGCCCCCATTATCCTATATACATTATATGACACTAACATCTAATGGTGTCAGTTCATTTATTGAGCAAAAAAGTAGTAGATGAACATAACCCAGACCAGTTTCTTCAAATTCTATAAACCACCTCAACCCTAATTTCCAGTTGCCTACCATAAACTCTTCGAACATTCACAATGTCAAACTACAGCCCAAAAATACCAACAGGTTGAACTAAGCTAAAACAGCCATTAAGTGGCACAAATTAAAGAGACTAACCTCGCCTGTAAACTCAATTACTGGCTCTTCTTTAAGCATTGCCTCATAATCCTCATTGGCATCAACAACCCGAGCTGCTGGATGCCTTCTATGATACTCTCGAATCTTCACACAAAAAAAGAATTACAACCAATTAATACAGCACAAGTTGCATAACAACCAGCAATCATCATATAAATTGCTTAATTAAAATCAATTAAAAACATTAACTTACCTCTTTTAATCTATCATAAAAAGCACTAAACACATTAGTCCCCATCGCGGTTTGTCCTCCAAGCGCCGCAATCTCATCTCTCCTCGCATTATCTTTATCTTCGTATATCTCAACCTAAAAAATTAAAAAAAATTAAAAATAAAAACCAGAAACTAAAAATTATAATTATTGTTAAAGTAAATTAATGAGAGAGAGAGGAATTACCAGTTTCTCAGTAGTGGTAATGATATTGTCAATCATGTTACGGACACGGTGGCTTTGAAAAAGACGGTCCTTGTTATTTGCTGGTTCGTTCTGGAGATCTTTAACGATGAGTCGTTCGAGTCTCTCTACTTCCTCGTGAGAGGCGCGAGTCATCTCTAATAGAGTCGACGACATCTTCGCCGCGGTCTCTGCCTCCGGCTCCGGTGAAACTTGCAGTGGATTTAAGTGTGGTTTTGTTTAGGGTTCTCACTTCTCAGTTGACAGAAGTCGCAGAAGCGAGAGGCTGAGCGAGGTTCGATTTTTATTTTTATTGTCCAAAGAGAAATGTTTGAAGCATTATAACGGTGTCGTTTCTGGTTTTAGTTTACTTTTAATTACAGCGCTTGCCCTGATTTTTGCTATAATTACACGAAGTAACTTATTATTTTTCAAATGATGTAATTTTTTTTTTAATATTAAAAACATAATTAGTTTATAGTAAAATCCTTATTTCATGATAAGGGTCATGGACCTATCTTTCACCTTGAACGGATAAAAATGGTTAAATTTGCGCAAGGGATGCAAAAATTAAAAAAAAAATAATTTATAAATATTGAATACATTTTTTATGTATATATCTGATAGGAAATATGTTATAATAATGTGTTAAAAATTATGAAGATAATATTGTGACTGTAAATATAAATGTAGAAAACCTTAAAAATTTTCAAAGCGTGGCCCATACTAAAAGAATCTAGGACTTGCTTCTCAAAATAATAAAATTACTGATAATTTTCATCCCATATGCTAAAGAAAATGGTAGATTAATAAATCTTTATAGGAAATCATTCTTTGAAAAAAAAACACATTTATTGGTATTTTTAAATTATTTTTTGAGTTTTTCTCATCTAAGTGCTTATTCAATTATATTTAGTATTTTTAATTTGATATTTTTAAATATGTTTGTATAATATCATATTTAAATCTCACCATCAGAAATATAAATGAAATGGTAAAATAAATAAAATTAATCATAAATACAAAATTTCAAATCAAAGATATTAGGATAATCTTTTTTAGAAAAAAAAAAACTATAACGTTACAATTAAACTTTCGATGTTAATTGTAACTTGTATTTATGTGGTCAAGGTATTAATATTCAGGTTTTCAGGGGGGCTTGTATAATTTATTCAAACTCAGAGCATCTTAACTCCAAATGTCCAAATTAAAGGGACTTGAATGACTCATCGCCTTTCATTGAGGGCTGTTTAAGCTGCTTAGCCAGCTTAATGCGAACTTGCTCCTGCCATCTCTCTTCAGGGATTTTTTTTAAAAAAAATTTTTTGTCTTCAGGAGATTTTAGAATGTTGTTAGAAAGAATAAAAAAGAGCAAAAGCATTGAAAAAGCTTAAATTTTTACCACAAAATACCCATGTGGAAGCTAAATCAGTTCTTATCATGTGATGATGAGGAGAGAGAAGAGAGTTTCTTGGAAGAAGAATCAGATGGCCTTTGTTCACTTTCTCCTACGCAGGTTTGTTTTTCCAATTCCACCTCAAATCTTGCATCTTTCTTGATTATAAAGTTTTCATATATTTTTTTTTTTCTAAAGCCTTTTGGCTATCTGGGTTTTTGTTTGTGTAGAGAATGTATGCATTTGCTGCCTCTTTGGTCGCTGGTTTGGCTCTTATGTTTCTGGTATGTCGGTTTGAAGTTTATCTTTTTGTTTGTTGTTGGATTGTATTGAAGCATAAAATGTGTTCTTTATGCGATGTTAGTGATTGAAATTTAATGTGTTTTTGGAAGTGGTAATATGTAATAAATTTAGCTTTTGAAGAGAAAAAATTAGAAGTAATTAATGGTAGAAATATTCTTGTCTCAAATATTGCAAGGAGCTTATAGATTTTCTTCCTGTGTTTATATCCGTGTCTAAGGTTTCGAATTTCTTTCTTTTACTGAATGTCTACAAAAGTGGAATTGCTTCTGAGGAGTTCATTAAATGTTCAACTTTTGCAGTTCAGTCTGTTGGGTTTTGTAATTCATGCTCTACTAATTTGATGTTGTCAGCTCAATTTGTTTAGACTATTCAAATGGTTTTCAAACTTTTATAGGGTAATTCTTTGGCCAATTTATAGAGGCGTATTATCTAATACAACTATACAAGGATTACTGTCATATTGTAGTATGTCATTTATTAGACTACTTTCCATAATACAACAGTCCCATAGCAAGCTTAGTATTAAACTTTCATTTTCCCTATCAGGGCATCTAAGAGGGGCAAGTTGTCTGCATCTGCAGATCACATTGCTTTTCACATGCTTCCACTACATTTACTGCATTTTGTTAACAGGATGCCACAAGCACCATTTATATAACTCATGTATCAAATCATCACTCCCGTGGGATGATGGTAGTATACCTTTGGTTGGTGGTTGATATGTTGTTAGCTCGGGCATATAAACACTGAGGAGCAGTCCTCTAGACTTGCCTCGAGAAGAATATGGGAATTCCTGTCATGTTGGAGATGTTGGACAATCATCATTTCTGGACTGTCTATAACAGCCTGGAGCCTATAAGCATGGACCATATATAGATCCCCCTCACCAACAATTTCCATTTCTTTTCTTTTCTTTTCTTTCAAAGCTTATCTCAATGTTTCCCTTTTTCTCCAATAATGCATTCTATCATCCATGGAAAAGATTCTTGGTAAGCTATCATCAAATTAGATCATTGGGCCAAACTATCACAAGAAGATCGCATTTCAAAATCAGCGTCATAGTTTAGAATGCATCTTAGAGGTTAAAAATGATATGTATTTGTACTTTATTAGTGATGAAATTATTTAGTTTCAGGCTGCAAAGAAATGGGAAGTAAATGAATAGGATATGTATCTGGAGAAAATTTTATCTGGTTCTTCTGCTTGGCTTAGATTGTTAGCATACCTAATTGCAAAAGAGGTGTTGTCTTACCAATGTCTGTAAATTTTTAACTCCTAAGTTAACCTTCTTCCTTTTCTTTGAGCATAGAAACTCTATGCATCTTTCATACATTCAAGTTCCATTATTACCACTTGATTGGTGTTCTCGTTCGTTTCCTGCTTAAGTAGACATTCAAGTCCCATTATTACTACTAGATAGTATTTCCCTTCTGTTTCCTGCTTAAGTAGGTGAGTTTAGATTAGTTGAGGGAAAGTGTGGGATGATAGAACATTGAGAATCTGAGCATGTTGAAGGAGTATACTGATTTTGAGTCATAATCCTGTTAGACAACATACTCGCTTTTGTGATCATTTATTGTGACATTTTGAAAGCTGTATTTCAATGGAAGCATGTGGGCATCTTAAAATTGCTGATATCTTTACAAAATCTGTTTGTGTTGCAGTCCTTGATTGTGTTCGCCAAGCCCATTAAATTTGCATTATTGTTCACCTTTGGCAATATGTTGGCAGTTGGAAGGTAGATTGACATTCTTACTCAATTTAGATTGCATTTTAATCTTTTATTTTTAATCTCTCTATTTGCTGGTTTGTTCAGGCACAAGTTTATATCCAGTCCCCTTGCCACCCTGATTTGTAATATTTCTTTCATACGTGTAAAAACAAAAACACCACTTCTTATTCATCATAGCAAAGGAAGGGCTTCTTTTTTTATTGTTGTTATTGTTGCCTGGCATAACTTCATTTAAATTCTTTCTTAATATAAACACTTTGAATAATCTGGAAAAAACTAGTTAATTTTATCACTTTTGATCTGAGGCTTTTTGGCACTCCAAGTTGGACTTTGCCAGCCTACTCAGTCATGTGTTATTGTGTATTTGGAAGTGAGTTTACATAAGTTAGAGAGCTTTATTGATTCCACACAGATAGTATCCCTGAGATCATCTGTAATTCAGATCAACTGAATTGTTGCCCTTCTTGAGGTCATTTGCATTCTGAATTTATTTTGTGTATGGCAGCACAGCCTTCCTTATTGGAACTGAGCGACAACTAGGCATGATGTTTGACCCTGCCCGAATTTATGCAACAGCTATATACATCGGATGCGTTGTTCTGGCTCTCATTTGTGCACTCTTGGTATTTCAACAGTTTCAATTCATTTTTCAAATATAATAGTAGTGCCCCTCAATGATAGAGAAAACTTGGGAAATTAAAGTGCAATCATGATTGTTTTTATGACCTATAGGGTTACTATCCTTGGTTTGTTCAAATTTTCAATCCCAAACATGAGTATTCTGGATCATGCCCATTTCTTTTCACTTTCTTGCAATTAAAATGAGAAGTTCTGTTATCCTTAGTTTATGTACTGCAGCATACAAGATAATGTGCATCTAACCATTTTCACCTCAAGTTATTAAAAGAATTCCTTTTGTTAACGATTAAGGTTCTTCTTCAGTGCTACCTCAAAGAAAATTGCACATCTCCTAATTCTCTGGTACTCTGTCATACTTTCTCCATTTTCCCCCTTCGTTTCCTTAGTTGTCATTGCATTCTTTTTTATCTACCACAGAAGAATTTACATCATGTTGGCATTTTGATTCTGAGTTATGGATTCAAATTTAAATAATGTAGAATTTAGGTATAAATTTCTACCGTTGTATCTATTTACATTGTTAATTGACCAGAAAGCTTTCTGCTTCATTGACAGACTAAATGAAGCTGAGGATTCCTTTTACCTGTGTCTCTGAAAAATTGAGATTCCTTTGAATTTTAACCAAGTGGTTAAACTTGAAACCATTTTCGACTCTGTTCATGCCTCCTGATGGGCTTCCATTAGCTATGCTTTTATCCTTGTGCTGTCTCTCAGAAGACCTTCTCTCACTCTCTCACAAATTCACCAAAATTTCAGAAGAGGTCACATCATGAAAAGCTTCTCGTTTGAACAGAGCGGTAGACTAAAATGGCCCTGCCATCTCACATCCTGGCCCTTGTGAACTTTTTGGGCTAAAGCGTGCCCTCCTTTTAGTAGAGAAAAAAAAAGTGTTCAAGATCAATTTGGAGAACAAGACATCTCCAAGGGGAATAATTAACAAATTTTAAAATATTAGAGAACTGCAATTGTGTTGAATATCTGACAATAAAACACACCTAAGTCTCCTTTCTCAAATATATATAATAAAATAAAATAAAAACTTTCAAATTGTAGCAGTTTTAAATCATTTCTGCACTTTCTTTTCATGTTGCAGATCCATAGCAAGATTTTAACAGTGTTTGCCATCATATTCGAGATTTGTGCCCTTATCTGGTAAGTTTGTCTTTCACTTTTGCCCATTTCACCAGTTTTATGGGAAGGGATAAGGACACAAGATTAGAATTGTACAGTGAAGATTAGAATTGTACAGTGAAGTCTTGCAATATTGTATATAGTACACAATAGTGTTCAGACTATTTGGGATAGAAATTATACAGCACACTCTTTTTCGTTTTTCAGAGACTACAATACATGGTTCCAGCCATGTACTGTTTCATCTCTAAAGACCACAAAATATGATTTTCAGCCTTTTTTCTTATGTATCAGGCAACATCTCTAGTCTCTACAATAGCTTCTCTGAGTTTAACAATAGGAAGTTATTTTGGCATTTAAAATGCTTTGTTCGCAATACTTATTTGCCCAGTTTGAGCTGTTTCAGGTACAGCTTGAGCTATATTCCTTTTGCTCGGAGAATGGTGTCTAATTTGATGATCCGATTATGCGACACTGAGTTATAGCTAGTGCAAAGTCATGGAGAGTGATAAACTGAGAGGTTCTAGAAGCCTTGGCTGACGGCAGTTTTCTTGTTTTTTCATGAGTTGGTTCTCAAGGATTTTTTTCACTTGATCTCAGAGTTTGGCAATTCTGATTGTTGAATTGGCAGCGTAACACAAGCTGTAGGTTTTTCAACTTACACACACACACAAAGACCAACTGTTTCCTTGATCATTTCAACTTGAAATCATTTGCTCCTAGTGATCCATTTCATTTAGAATAAGCTTTTATCTTCCTCCTTTTTTTGTTTATTAAATCTTTTAGGAGATAGACAAGAGAACTAAGAAAATTATATACGAAAGAGTAAGACTGAAAAGGAGCCCATATTTTTGCAGAATGCATTGATTAGACGAGGGCCATTCTAACTTTTGTTTTTTGGTCCTCCATGCAGTGATGCAGATAAGGGATTCAAGAGTTGAGTTCACAGAGAATATGAGCGCTTTTTAGTCAAAACAGGAAATGCTTTAACAACTGAAATGGGCCAAAATTATGGAAAGCCCTACTCCATTTAGGCATGGCAAACAACGTTCCAGTTGAACACTAAACCCTAGCGTAAGGTATCATACTTTCCTCGAAGAGGTATAAATATGAAATATGGACAAGGAATCTCGTATGTCTCAAAGATGGGAAAGACAAAGGTGTCTCATATCAGTTTGCCAGCTCATTAGAGGTTAAAAACGACGAAGACATTTTTCCACATCCACGTTTTAGCCACATGTGTGAAATCATTAATGGCAGATACCTATACACAGATGGACTGATGATAGATACCGATCACATGATCTGCATTGGACAACCTTAATGATGAATACCAACCACTTGACAGACTGTCTTCAGTACTATTAAATCTTTCTGTTTAAGTAGTCAATGCTGTCCTCAGTACTCGCAACTACCTATTTACTTTTGTACCAAAGAAAAAACATCAGTACATGTCTTTGTTTGCGTTTACATGGACCACAACAATAGCCTGCAAGCAAATTAAAGTCACTGACAGGCAAATGAAACTCCTAGCAAATTACGATAATTTCTTTTTCTTCTTCTTCTTTACAACAAGTAAACCAAAAATTAGAAAATGTAATCCACGGGCAACTAAAACTAATCAAATATCTCATGCTCAATTTAATGTAATTATAAAAATTCACAATTTTATGTGAGATTAAGTGCAGTTTGATACTAGAAAATATTGCTAAAAACATCAAAATCATATAACTGTTCATGTATCGTGTCGGAAAAAAAAACTATATTTAAAATGAATCCCATGTTCATAATCTATACAGACATGAAGAAAAGTAATGGGGAATTAGGGTGGTGGAAAATAATTTATCACATGGTAGTGGAAAATAGTGATTTAAAAATCAAGTTACCATCCATTCTATAAAATATTAATAAGTATTGAATAAATTCTATTTATGTTTCTATTTCTCCTTCATACTCTTTGTATTGAAGCCGTTTAACAATTTACACAAAAGATTCATTGTTATTCATTGTTGTTATTGGTTTTAGTAGTACTGTATATGATCATATATATATTCTGTACTATTAAAACTAATAACAACCATGAATCTTTTTTATCAATTAGATACTAATGTGTATTGGGTTATAAATGTCATCTTTAATTTTGCTTGTCACTCCTTTTTATAATATGAACTGGGAAACGTATTATAAAAAAATTTATATGCTTCCTATGGAGGTATCTATTTAAACATAATAAATTTCATAACTTTGATATGTGATGTAACATCTTTTTATCATATAGTTCAATTTAAATTTTAAATCACTTTATATATATATATATATAGATAAAGAGAGAGTAGTTTTTAGCATGTATCAACTGCTTAATTTTAATAAGTTTTTTCAAAATTAGATTTTTTTTATTGTTAGTTATGTTGTTAGATAAGATTACGTAATACTCATAAACGAGTTGACCAAGACAACTTGGAATATCATCATTCATTCTCATAAGCAATATTTTTTTTGTAGTAATTGATTTATAAAAATGCATAAAACTCTCCATTAAGATCCTTTACAATCTTTTTAGAATTTATTTGAATCAACTTATTTCATCAATCTCAATTTAATTGGAGTAAATTTCGTATATTTTCTTCTTCTTTTATTTTAGTGGACTTTGTATCATATTTTCTATTAGCCTCTCTATAATCAAAATTATACTATATTTGTTAAAAAATAACTAAAACTAATCAAATATTTTATTTTTTAATCATTTTTTTAAATGGATACATAAGGAGGGGGTAATTTATTATAACAATTGATTGATTTGATGAACATGCTTATTTGAAGAAAAAAATTATTGTATCTCATATTGTGTTTGGACTAATATGCTATATATTGTGTTAATTAGGAATATAAATTGAAAGCACAACTAAGCCTTTATAAATTAATACTTTTAGGGCCATGAAAATTTATTAGTTAATCAAGATATTAGTTAATCAATAAATTAATAATTTATTAGTTTATACATTAATTAATAAAAATTTAATTTATTAGGGTATTCTTTATTTATTTTTTTCAAAATATTGAAGTTAATGCATATATCATATATTGTTATTATATATGAACATGATCTAATTTTCAAATTACAAGTTATTTATTATACATACCAAAGACAAATGATTAGTCCTTTTCTGTATTAATATCATATCATATCAGCACTCCTACCCATTAATATTATGTCATATCAATATTTTTAGCATGACTAACATGCAAATTAAAGTAAGTGACTTGATTGCTTATATAGTCTTACATATCATAATTTCTTATAACATTTGCTCCAAATAAGATATTTGTTACTTACCATGTAAATGTTAGTATAATACATCAAGTCTTGAAAGCTACTTCAAGAATTTCAGTTTAAAATTTAATTAAATCATCTTACTTAAAAATAAACAGATGCTATTTGATAATGTGCAATTGTCTCATTATGTGGCCCCTTAGATTTTAAAAGATAAGATCATGTAATACTCATAAACAAGTTGATCTAGTTAGACAATATGGAATATCAGCATCATTTATTTTCATATGCAATGTTTTTTTGGTAATTTATTCATAAAAATACTTAAAATCCTCCATTTAGATCCTTTATAATCTTTCTATAATTCACTTGAATCAACTAATTGCCATCAATCTTAAACTAATTATTGCAAATTTCATATATTGTTTTTTCTTCTTCTTCAATGGACTTTATATCATCTTTTACAATAACCTCTCTAAAAAAAAAAAAAATTATATTGCTTCACAAGCAACTAAAACCATAATTTTAAAACTTGGACTGGCTTAGCAGGTCCACCCGGGACCCAGCAGACCCATGCTTGGAACCGGTCCGAGTCTAAATAAAAACCCACCTAGGAGTTAGGCCAGCAAAACTCGATCAACCTGACAGGTTAACTAGGAATCCAGTCGACCCGGGTAAACCTAGCTAAGACCCGGCTACCTTCCTGACAGAGAAAGGCAACAACAGTCCGTAAGATCTAATCTTTGGAGGCAACTGTATTTTTTACAAGTACTCAACAAATGGCCTTTCCAAATCCTCATTTGAAATCTTTGTCTTCCCTTTCTCTTCATTATTCTCATTCCCATCATTACCAGAAGTACTTGCCCCTATTTGTGGCAACCGAGTGCCTTTGCACCATCTTAAAAAACCTTATCAATTGATTCTTTCCCCATTGTTGCAAACTTTGAACCCATTTGTGATTAATAATTTTGATAAGAGGGTAACGTCTCAACAAATAAAAAGAAAAGGAAAGTGAATAAATGCTTGAATATAAAGAGGGAATGTAGGAGAGAGAGTAGACTTCTAGCTTTTGGATTGTAGAAGTTCTTAACTACTCTCCATTGCCTAGGGTTTTGTGCCTTGAACTCAAATAAAAAATATTTCAAATTCGAGTGGAAGACAAATCTCACCTCGTTAGGTTAATTTCGTAATGGAGCCCACATGAGCTCCTCCTTCTTAACCGGCCCCTACATGTAATTAATAATTTTTTTGGGTTGATCCGGGTTCGGGTCGATCACCGGATCAAGTTTTAAAACTATAATTGAAACTAATAAAATCTTTTAATTTTGAATCATTTTTTTCTTACAATACATATAAAAAAAGGGGTGGTTTATAATAACAACCAATTGATTTGAACATGGTTGTTTGAAATAGTTATCGTGATTTTATCTCATGTTGTGTTTGGACTGATATGCTATATTATGTTGACTTCGAATATAAAATAAAAGTACAACAAAACCTATATAAATTAATATTTTTAGGTTCATGAAAATTTGTTAGTTAATTAAGAAATTATTTAATTAATAATTTATTAATTTAATTAATAAAAATTTGATCTATTAAGGGTTTTTTTTCTTCAAAACATTGAAGTTAATGCATATATCATGTATTGTTATATATAAACATTATCTAATTTTTAAATTACGAGTCTGGTCTATAATAATATTGTGTCATACCAATACTTCTAACATGAAAAGTATAAAAATTAAAGTTAGTAAGTTGATTGCTTATATAATCTTTTATATTCTAAATTTTTATAACATATGGTACTCTAAACAATATATTCGATTCTTGTCATGTAAATGCTATTTCTATATAACAAGTCTTGAAAGTTACAGCTTAAAAGTTAATTAAATAGTGTTACTTTTTGGATGTTTTTAAAAATAAATGATTGAACAAACTTCAGCAAGCTCATCATATCGGGCCAATTCTGAACTTTATGTTCGCAATACTTATTTGCCCAGTTTGAGCTGTAGGTACAACCTGAGCTGTATTCCTCTGGCTCGGAGAATGGTAGTGCAAATCAAGGAGAGTGATAAACTGAGAGATTCTTGAAGCCTTAGCTGATGGCAGTTTTCTTGTTTTTTCATCTGAGTTGGTTCTCAAGGATTTTTTTCACTTGACCTCAGAGTTTGGCAATTTTGATTGTTGAATTGACAGCAAAACATAAGTTGTAGGTTCTTTAATATATATATATATATATATATATAAAGGTGTCTCAGTAGAGGTTAAAAACGATAAATAACATGTTTATTGTAGTTGCTTTTATTTTTTAAAGTATTTTTTATTTAAAAAAATATATTAATAATATTTTTTTTATGTTTTAAAAATTTATTTTTTAAAAACAATATATTCAAATAATTTAAAAATATAAAAAATATATTAATTTAAAAAAATAATTTTGTTTAAAACACTTTTCAAACCCAATTCCAGAC